CTTGATCCAAACCACGAGGAGGACGATGAGGATGAGGAGGAGGACGAGGATGGTAGCGAAGACGGCAGCGAGGAGGATGAGTGTGCCAGTGAGGACGAATCCGGTACGTTTTACGTAACTTTGAACACGGCTGCAGCCGACAAATGTGATAGGTTTTTATAACAAACGAATCCTTGTCCGGATGGTGGCTGAGTGGCTTACAGTACGTCGACTGCCAGATTTACTCAAATGGACCTCAGACTATCTAGCTATTTCTTCGACAGCTTTGCTTTTGCTGATTGCAGCCGCATCTGATGGCTTCGCTTTCGACTCGTCCTATGTTCGCTCGAAGCCAAATGTTGGACAGTTCTCGGCTTGAGCAACACTCTAGTAATCTGACTCCAATTTGACTAATCGCCGGGCTGATTTTCCTGCTGATTCTTGAAACTTCCCGTCAGTCAGATAAAGAAAACCTTTTTTACGAGTCAGTTATGGAGATCAGTATAAGACTTGTCCGCTGTCAGCGGTCTTGTCTCCGATGATGCGAAACATCAGACAAGTAAACTTTCTTCCCCCAGACTTCGTTAACTCTTCCATAACAAGGACTGGTGAAGGATGAAGTAAGGATGTTACGTTCGCGGACTTTTGCGAATTTTTATCCTCCGAGCGGATCCCAATATTGGGACCGGCAAAGTGATTGTTTCAGAGCCTTACATTCCTGACCCAAGGGTCACGAACAGCGGTCCACTCAGAATCTGTAGTGAGGGATGTTGGCCCACCCTGTATTTCCTTAGTTGGTATCATGGCTGAACTGCTCACAAATCACCTCCGACCTATTTAGCTAATAAGTACCCTCACCTATCTATGCATGCAGACTTTGCAAACCAGCTGGTTGGAGGCTTCTAGCGGTTAGGGATGAGCGATCTGCTATATGCACAAACACTGAGAATTTTCAGTCGGATGGAAGAAGGCAATCGGATATTGGAAGCTATTTATTATGGGTACACATGGCAAGTTGCCACGGATTGACTGCTTGCTGGTGTGTAAACAATGCGACCGTCTGGGGGCGTGTGAATAGCGAATTTTTCTGTACAGTTTTGTCATTGTTCGTGTCGGAATGCGGGAGTGCGTGTTGGGTGTATGATTGGTCAGTTGAAAAGGGACAGTCAGGGGGACATAAACACAAGGGACCATGGACGAAAAGGCGGTCTCGCCGATGCGCGTAAGATACGCGTTGTCCAAACACGTGACTGAGTAAGGTGAGGTCAACTCTGGGGGCCGCCGAGCTTCGGCGGAAAGCATGTTAGTCAGCGGGATTGTCTCGGCAGTCCGGACGCAGGAGAAAAGGGAAACACTAGAGCGGCTGCTACCGGTTAGCCAGAAAACGAACACCGAGGCAACAGTTAGGTCA